CCCCCCCCACCTCCTCTCTCTTCCTCTAACAACTACACAGCTATGAGAAAACACAAGCTCGTGCATACAGAACACTCACTCCCACAAGCTTTCGTTTAATCAGTGCCATGGGGAGTCCAGGGTGAGGAAAAAAGTAACAAAAACAACAGGGAACAGGTTGGGGGTAGAATGATGAAGGGGAGGGAAGAGCTGGCGATGAAGGGTGAGAGTATGGGAGGGGAATGGGGGGTATAACGAACCCCCCCCCCCCCAACCTAATAACCATACATGACCTTGTCTTTCAACAATAGATGTGTACATGTTGCTAAACATGCCAAAACACAAATATAATGTCAACCAACACCAGATCATAAATCCTCCTTAAACTGAACTCACAGAAAAAAGTAAAGTTTTGTAGAACCTGATATACAAAACAGTTTGTTAAAGAATCTTAATCTGACAAGACCTTGATCAGATCTACTGTGTGAGAAAATCCGAACAAAAATATTACAATTTGTGGTTAAGGAATTTCTCTCAGGAGGACAAGTTTGAAGAAAAACAATAACACTTAATCCTGATTATAACAAAACTGTGTAAGTCCTAAATTTCAGATTTTACTTATTGGTAGCGTCAAAATACCTGTCGCTTGTTTTGTTTCCTCAATATAGCAGAGCTTTGTTTCATGTACTAATGACCAAATCATTGAGGCATTTCACCTTTCCTCAAGTCTTAGGGTTGACTTTGGTATGCACTGGGCATATTTAAAAAAGTTTTATCAGACAAAAAATGACCTAGGCAACTGCATCATAAAGACTTTGTGTATTAACTCTTTCTGGGCCACTCACCACTCACTGTGCCATCAGTTTATATATATTACATATCAGTGATAAAATAATTGCATGTGGGAATAGTTAAAGCCATAAAAAGTCAACTAGTGAGTGCCCTGGACTGTTTTCACAACTACCATTGCTCTTGTTTCTATAACTGGTAATCAAAGATGAGATCAAATCACTCAGCTGAAATATCTGCTAAAGATCTTGATAGTTGGTAAGTGTTTGAGCACTTAATCAGCTGCTTGCACTGTATGCTTACTGGGAAGCAGGCGCGGTTCGTCCATAGAGCACGGTCGTGCAGTGCTGCCCCAAATTTGTTTTATGTTCTATTACGTAAAACACCCACAATAATAAAATAAACGAAACCAGAAACAAACACTAGCCAAATATTATATCAAAACAAGGTCCTCATTGGCGCCAAAACTGTCATTTCTGTGTCAAAAGCGCCATAAAACATCTATTATGCCATGCCAAAGTCCTCGCACTTTAGCTAAACATAATAGGATATTCAACAGTGTAACCTCAACCTGACCTAAATCGCTCTTGGGGATAACGCAAGCAATGACGACACTCGTAGCGAGTTTGGTGGTACAATAATATTAATAAGACGGCACATCTCAAATGTGCTCCTGCCGAATAGTGCCGAAACATAGCCCGCAGTAGGCAGTCTAAAAATAAACGCGATAGACCGCAAGCTATTCTTTGCCAACTATTTTAAGTGACTCTGTGACCGTGAACCTGAGGGAGGTGAATGTGACCGTCCTGTGAGTTGTGCCTTTGAAACGTTTTGTAGTGGAGTAGTGAAATTATTACTTGAACTTGAGAGTTCAGTTCCAATACAGGATGAAAGAAATTGATGTTTAGCTAACAAACAAATTTAGTACTTGAAATCAAAGCAACAACTAAAAAGACTGAACATAAAAGCACGAAGTCCTCCCTCACCAACCCAAAGATCTTAAAATTATACACCGTCTCATTTACCATGCCCTTGACTATCTTCAGCATGCAATAGCTTTATTGTGCACGTCCACTTTTTAGCCCCACGGGCCGCCCCTGCTGGGAAGCTAAGAATGTTTCTGAGTGTCTGTTGTGGTAATAATAGAGTGTAATTGGCAGTTGACTCAAATACTTAAAATTGATAAATTTGGTCCATGTCATAAAAAACAACAGAAACACAGAGAAAACCAATTCTCAATGACCTCATAACAATTCAATCATGCATTGCTTGTCAGTTGTTCAGTTTGTTGTTGTCTCTTCTGTTCCCGTCGGTTGTCAAGGGCGACCAGATTAGGTATGAAGGCAAAAACAAATCCTGTCACCATAAGAGCTACTCCACAGTAGTGAAGGACCATGTTAAAGTTCCCAGTGGCCTCCATCAAGGCACCTGGAAGAAGAAAAAACACACAACAATCCATAAAAATATATGTTACCACAAATCGTACATAAAATAAATTTTAGTTAACTATGCTCTGCTACCCACCACCCCACCCCAACTTTTTGTGTCTTTTTCACACATCATGCACGACAATAAAAGCCTGCTGATAACACTTCTTTTAAGACACAGCTGCAATTACCACAAAGTTGATGTCTTGGGCAAATTGATTTAAACTTAATCTACTGGGGCACAGTACCCCTCAAGTTATTTTCCTGGGGTGGTCCTGCTCTTCTCAGGAATTTCAAAATGCCTTTAAGCATATAATGTCTTCTATCTTTGAGCTTTGGTATTAATTTTACCAACATCCACAAATACAAATGCATATATTCCCACATTTATACATTATAGCCTAAAGATACACACCCAAACGCACAAATACAAAGACATATGTGTAAACACACACATAAACACACTTACACACATGTACATATGGGCCTACACTCAGTACAAAACAAACACACAGTGACACACACACACACACACACACACACACACACACACACACACACACACACACACACACACATACATACACACATACACACATACACACACAACATACAAACATACACACACATACACATAGGCCTACCTAACAAAAATACAGAAAGGTCACCACAAATACAGACACACACATGAGCTCACACACAACACACACACACACACACACACACACACACACACACACACACACACACACACACACACACACACACACACACATACTTAACAAAAATACACAAAAAGATAACCACTAAAACATACACACACTCACAAAGGCACACACATACAAACAAAAACTCAACTCACTCAATAGCGGACTGTGAGTGGCCGCAGAGATGGTGCCGACAAATGCAACTAGACTAAAAGCCTTGGCCATTTGACTGATTCCAACCATCTCAATCAGAACCAGTGGCATCAAGGACATTCGGATGCCGATAAACATCCCTAAGAACACAGTCCAGCCCAGGAGAGTATCAAAAGACCTGCACAGACGTCCAATGTGACAGCAGAGGCCTATGAAGAGAGGGATCGAAGGTGTTATGACTTATAGGTTACCATAAATAAAATTAAAGTTATCTAAATATGAGGCTTCGTGGCGAAATCAGGCGCTCGTCAAAATAATGAAACTGAAGAAACTGGTCTTTTTCTGTCTGTAAGGCAATTTTTATTGGATTTTAATTTTTTTGACTACGGTCCATTTAAAAACACGTTTCTGTGTGAATTTTACTGAAAAATGTTGATTAATTGCAGTTTCTAATGACTCTCAAGCTTTGGAAGTTACCTAACTAAGGTGGCCATTTTCTTGCTCATTTTACCTCTGAGACCAGGTGACCCCCCACCTCCTTCAACAGCGAATATCTCGACTTCTATTCATGATATAAGAATATTTATTTCACCGAAAGCAAGACAAATGAACAAACTTTAAAATTATACCAATATCTCCACATGTCCAAAAATTGACGAGCGCCTGATTCCACCGTGTCATGACACAAATGAAGGGCCTATACTTCAGTTTGTATCACATGTAACAAGGAACACTTTCTCATGGATATACTTTAGCATCAATTTGCTCAATAAGCGCTTCTTGTTTCAACTTTTTGATTACCGGTATAGAAAAGATTACATTCATACTTTTGACCTGGAGAAACAGTGTTTTCTTTCATTTTTATTTCCAATTTTATTTTAAAGTATTTAAACATGCACCTTTTGATCTTGTGTGAAATATATCTTAAATAGGATTATCTTTATTTTCTTTGTTTAAAACACATACATGATTTATCAAAATGTGTTCATAATGGAAAGTTACTTGTACTTGTAATGCCTTTTTCTTCTTTGCTTTCCCCTGCTAGATCTCAAAGAGTTGTCGACTGCTGGTTCTTCAACCTGACCTGCAGTGCAACTCATTTCTATGTATGCAACAGTTTTTCCTGCTTTGTAAGGCCACATTCCGGTTTCGAAGGCACTTTATATGTTTTTATACTGAAAAGAGTTTTTCTTCAGTTTTGGTAGGAATTAATTTTGAATTTTGCCCTAATGTCAGCCAGAGCCCACTCTTATCAATTTTGGGACCATCAATGGATCTTTAATGTGCACAACTTGTGTACGAGACCTCCGAGATTTTTTGCCCTGATTCGAGAAAACTAAGAGTTTGATCTTACCTACCCTAAGATCAGCGTTGTCATGGCTGAAAGACCGTAGTAAGAAGGAGTTAGGGTAGCAGTGGAAAGAGTCAAGAAGTAAAGGAGAGATAAGCTTACAAAAGGCCAGGGGTGGGAAAGTGGAGATGAAAGCAGTTGACAGAACAGTCTAGAGAACAGGTGAAAGGAGTCATTTTTAGAGAGGAAAATTTTTCTGTCACTGTCAGGTTTAAAAAAACCTGGGATCCTTTGAATGATAAGTGAACACTGTATCTCTAGACCATGAGAACCCCCTCATGTAATGGCAATTTCTGTGTGTGTATGCCAGACTGTAGATGAATAGATAAACAGCAAGAGGGTTGTTCCACAGACAGATGGGACGGAGGGAGACACGGGTTAAAGATAGGCCACACAGATTATAATGAATATGCTATAGATAGTTACAGTCTGTTTCAGTTTTAGTAAGAGTTTTACACCACTTGCAACACAAATAAATCATATACATGCTGAAGATTAAAGGTGTCACTAGATAGTAAAATACAAAGAAGAGAAGAACGAGAGATAAGGACAACAGTTATTTGATATTAAAGAAGGAGGAAACCCTTCAAGAGCACCTGCCATCCACCCACAAATATAATAGATATATCCTTGTATGGTTGCAGTTTACAATTTGTCAGAGGGATAACAATTACATTTTTTCACACATGGATTAAGAGCAACCGTAACACTGAAAAAATCCTAAAGGATCAGACCACCTCAGAGAACCCTCTTATCATCCATTGATAAACAGATTACGGATAGACAAAGATAGACTGATAGATGACAGATAAATGAGACTGAGAGAACAACTGGACGAATGGCAGGATAAATGACCGCTAAAATAATGAATAGGCCTATTTATTAAAGAATTCTTTTATCTTATGTATCAATATTATCACAAAAATGCTCTTACCAAGACAAATCTGGCCAATGGCAACAATTCGAGAAGCCCTCAGCCAGCGTAAGTCCGCAATGAATCCAACAACAAAGCGGCTTGCTAAGTCCACAGAACCAGCGATGACAAGAAGGAGAGCACCCTCGTTCTTTGAGGCTCCCTGTATGACCGCGATCGTTGGGATATAGGTCAGCAAGTACTGGTTGGTGGCACCCAGGATTGCGGAGAGAAGGAAAACACGTACTGACCACAGCCTACAACACAAAGAAAATACATAAGATAAAAATGGTTCCGCAATCTGAAACTACATGTACTTGTTATAGCTTACAAATATAGTCTTGATTGCATTAAGACAATGGGGGGTGGGGAGGGGGGGGGGGCAAGGAGGCCTGTCTGTTCTTATGCAACAAATGTGATAACTATTCAGATGCAATAGAGTCCTGTGGGGTCAGTAACTAATTTACCACCTACACAAATAGACTCTGCTTATTTCAAAGGGTGTAAAGAAACCCACTTGTTATAACATAGAAATTAAAAAGTCATAACAGATCCCCTCTTTTGACTAGAAATAGATAATTTAGCTCTATATGACCTCTAGCAACCTCTGTACCTACATTTCCCCCCCCCCCCCTCCGCTGGCCAAAAAAAAATACTTATCACTGCTTTATTCTTTTTAGAGTTAGTCTCTAATCACTAATCTGACAAGTCAAACCCTGAACCCCTTCAGCAAATAGGACCAAATAAAAAAGATTGTAAAACTAGTAGTAAGAAAAACTATTTTGCACTTTTTTCAGAATAGTGAACAGTATGAAAAACATTGTAATTGTTGTTGTAGCTGCTTTTGTTGCACTTTTCTTTACTCAAAATAGGCCTGTACTGTAGTGCCTATTCTACAAATATTTAAGTTTTTTAAAACTTATCGAGCAGTTATTTAGTTTTCATCCATCGAGTGAGTAGTATATATTGTGATAGGGATTTAATTTAGAATTTGTGTCCCCTTGCTGCCCATACAAAGAGGACTATGCTCTTATGATTTTCATCTGCCATGGAGTTTTTAGCTTATTCAAAATGATCTCAGAATTGATCAGTTTTTTTATCTTTATCTGAGAAGACTATGCACCCAGTCAGTACGACCTATCCTGATATCAGGGGTGTGGAAACAGAGAGGAGAACAGTTTAAAGGTAATTCACAAAAATGTGTACTTGAACTGGGAATCAAATCTGACACTTCAGAAACAGAAGCAACCACTTTATCTGTAAAACAACAACTCAATCCCTTCCTCCACCTCTCCCCACCTTATGAAGCAGGGCACAAAAAAGTTCTTCTTCTCCCATTCTTTACCTGAAAAGTGCTGGGTCAAATATGTTTCTAACAATTCGGCAAAAGCACCAAGCCCTCCATCCCCCAGGTTCTTCCTCCTCCTCTGCTTCTGTCTCCTCAGGCACACCAGCAGCCACACCCACAGCCTCTATTCCGCTGGTGACACTCCAAACACTTCCATAGGGGATTCCCCCTAACTGCATGCTCCCCGTGAGACTGCCCTTGGCCGAACTGTTTGACCTCGGCTTGGTGATCATGTATGCTGGGGCTGAGTCTTGGCGAATTAACAGAGGAGATATTGGCCTTTTCTGTGAAAAAGATGACACCCTCTCCCGTACAGAATTCACATCTTCTGTTGAGTTTGCTTTGTCTAGACGAGAAAATGACAAGAGCTTTGGACTATTGCTGAGAATTTCAGTCTCTTTTTCTGAACCATTTATTAAATGCATACTTTTCTCCTGATATGAGAACGCTGAGATGCCATCTTTGCCATTGATATTTCCAGTGATGTCTTTTTCAAGTACAGCTGGCAAGGGGGTGTCCTCACCCCTGTGTGAAGTCATAACACCATTTCTGCCAGTTTTATTGTGGTTTTCTTGTGAATCATTTTGATGAGATACACTTTTGTCATCGGTTGATGAAGGAGGCAAAAACATTTCTGTAGTTTCATCTTCTTCAATTATAGGCGTTGGATCTGGTTTCTTTCGTGGTCTGTGAATTAAGGGAAAGCAAAATTAAAGAACATACCAACACTCTATAGCTTATCTATAATAATATAGATATGGTAGTAGCAGCAATATTCTGACTCTTAGAACAAACTCTAATCAAAGAACAATTGAAGAGGTAAACTGAAAAATAGACCAAGTCACATTAATCTTGCCAGAATATTAGCTTATTTTTCATTTTTTTCAAGATGGACTTAATCAAGATTCGCTTTAACAAAAATACCCTTTGTGAGTAAACAAGCTCTATAACATTAATTGTTTTGAAATATAAGGCAAGTGGAACAATACTAAGTCATTTAAACATTTTTGTCATGTTATTCAAGCAAAGAGAGAAGCCCCCAATCTGCAGCACATATCCACCAGGGAAAACGAAGCACTTAAATGCTCAAAATAGGGCAAACTATTCTCTGCCAGAATTGGTCTCATTTGTTTAGCAGAAATCATAATTATGTCATCTTAATCTTTATTTCTTCTATTTTTTTGTTGGAGAAATTCTCCTCTGCAGATGCATTGGTCATTGTCAGACAATAACGAACAAACTTTTGTTGTTGTTGTTTTGATAAGTGTTTTACGGTGTTCGCATGATCTGCATTAAGTCATAACTGAGAGCTTGGGACATGTTAAACATTTTCAATTTGGAAGGAATTCATTTTAAACTTTGCCCGGGTGGTGGCCAAAGCCTACTCCTATTGATTCTAAGACCTCTAAGGGGTCTTTAATGGGTACATTTGCACATGTGACCTAGGACATTTTTTTGGCCCTTATCCCCTTATCCAAGAAGGTATGGTGTTGATCTTACATACCCTAATTTCAGGGGTGAGGCTGAAATACAGCAGTAAGAAAGAGCCAGGAGTAGCAGAAGAAAAAGTCAGGAGAGCAGAGAAGGTGGGAAAGGGGGGTGGGGGGAAGAAAGTGGAGATGAAAGCAGATGACAGAATATGATTAAAGAGCAGGAAAGAAGAAAACTTTCCATAGCTGTCAGGTTTCGAACATGGGATCTTTTCAATGAGAGATAAACACTGTACCTCTAGACCACAAGAGCCCCTGCCTAACAAACCTTAATTATTAGTTTCCAGAACCAGTATGGTTTTCCACACTGACAGAGATGCTTACTTGTAAGATGACACAGGCCGAAGAAGTAAGCCAGCCACCATCATATGAAACTGAAGACCTGATGCGATAAGAAACGTTCCTCGAATTCCATACTGTTCCGCCATGCCACGGACCAAAGGGGGAAAAGCAATAGAGGCCACGCTTATACCACAGTTAGTTATTGTTGTTGCAACAGATCGCCATTTGTCAAAGTAGAAGCTTACGATGCTAATGGCAGGTACAAATATCATGCCAGCAGACATGCCTGAGGAGGAAAGGAGAACCTTTTTAGGAAACTTAGGCAAAAGAGACTACATTTTATATACTAAACTTTTCATTAATATGTGCCATGACATGGTGGAAACATGCACTTGTCAGTTTTGGGGGATATGGAATTATTGATACAATCTTATGCCTAATCATTTGTCTTGCTTTAGATGAATAAGACAATCATTTATCTTGAATAGAAGTTGAGACATCTGCAATTGAAGGAGGTGGAGGTCGCCTGGTGTCAGAGGTAAAATTAGCAAGAAAGTGGCCACCAAAGTTTGATGACCTCCAAAGCTTGAATTTCTGTGAAAACAGTAAATTTATAATTTTTTGTGTCATCGATCAAATTTAAAAAAAGAAGTTTTGGAAGCAGAATCTGATATTTTTTTCTCTTTTGCTCATAATTTAAGCATTTCATTTACGTCTCGATTGTAGACGATGATAACAATAATAATGTAATAAGGATAATATTAAAATCTTCGCAGTCTTCTCTTCCTGGGGCAGTAAAGAAGGCCTACTATGACAGAATGTACTCAATGTATAACTTTGCAATCCATAAGTACACCAGCAGACCTGGATAGCATTCTGAAACAACCTCAGCTTCTTGGGAAGCATATAGTGCAAGCTGCCATTTTATAGGTGCTAAATCACTAACATAGATGCTTCGAAATGTACCTTGTAAGGCTGACACAGCAATGTAACTCTCTATGTTTGGTACCATAAAGAACAGCAGAGAACAGGATGCGAATATTGAGCCAGCTATGACCACCACCCGACGTTCTCCGAACCTGGGCACCAGCTCGTAGGTCACCAACACAGCTGGGGATATAGAAAGAAGAGAAAGACTTGCTATTATTTGAAGTGCATGAGAGTAAGTGTCTTTCTGAGTTGTCTTTTTTGGTCTACTCGGCTGGAACACAAACCGAATGTTGTGGTATGATTACTCTTGATCTTGATAGAAGTTAGTCCTTCTCATTTATAGAACTCTTATGTTTCAGAATCCGGTATGCATTACATCGTCACCCATAACTGTGACAGTATGAAAGTTAGCTTATGAGTTAACGTTCATCTAAAGTGTGTATATAGACCTTTGCACATTCACTTACTTGTATTTTGTAATAAGATGAAGGTATTGTAATGCACCAAGAGCCACTTTCAACATAAGAGGGCGGTTTAAAAATAGCAGGCAAAGAGAGAGAGAGAGAGAGACAGAGAGAGAGAGAGAGAGAGAGAGAGAGAGAGAGAGAGAGAGAGAGAGAGAGCAAGAG